TCACGTTCAAGGGCAGCCCCACACAGAGTGAGTTACAGCAATCTAATCTGGAAGTGACCATTGTATGGGTCACAATAGCTAAGAATTGCCCCTTACTTCTTATTTTCTATATACAGTATCAACACAGCCAATTTAGTTATTTCTTTTTTAAAAAAAAACCCAAGGGGGTAGATTTATTATTTTAACCACTATGCCAGGGCTCGAAATACTCATCGTTTCACTATCGGTACTCAAGTAAGTCTCTCAGAAAAAACTCGCTGTTTATTTCCCCCTACCCCCTTCGCTGCGTTCGTCCGTTCATGCACTTAGGAGGCGTCCCTCCTTGCGCGCTGCTTTTCCCACGGGGGTACTCCATTTTAAAACAATAGTCCATTTATTTTGAACTCACGTTCATTGATGATCATATGTCTGACCTCGCTTTCTTCATCATTGTTCTGCTCAATCTCCTGTGCTTGTCTCGGTCGAATTAGCTTATACCCGAAGGTCACTCAGCGGCAGGACCATCAGGGTGGAGGGAAGCCTCTATTCTCTGGCATCAAGCTGTCGAAGAGGCTAACCTTCAGAAGCCCTCTGGCCTGGAACCCATCGCAAGGGCTCCGTGGGGGTACCACTTGAGGTAGCACCCCTCCTTACCGCTGGTGTGCTAATCACCTCCCCAGACGTTGGGGAGAGCGACCGCCATCACCAACCCACAAACCGGAAGTCCAATTTAGTTATTTCTTTAACTATTCCAGTACAGCTGGAAAAGAGGTCAGGAAATACGAGGCTTATAAAAATAATTACAATGGAGCTCAGAGGTGATATAGCTAATATTGCTCAATTCCACAAATATGTTGATTTTTTTAATTATGGAAGGGTTTTTTATTACCCTTTCATGCAGTTCTCAATTAACCGTGGATATATGGCCAAGGGCCACTCCCAGTACTACAGGAGAAAACATGCATCAGGGTAAGCCAAAAAAAAAGAGAAGAACTATGAGATGCATGCCTGATTCTTGTGACTAACCATTCTCCCATTACAGAGGGTAGGTTCAGCTGACAAACTGTGGGGTACTCACTCAAAAACCATGTGGCATTTTGGGAGGAGGGCTGGTATTTTTCGTGTGTGTGTGTGTGAATGAGTGCACCTGGAAGTTATGGCGACCTTGGTAACTGACCCCTACTGGGGGCCTCGAGGATATTTAGAGAGGAGTCTGAGTAAAGCCTGCTCCAACTGCTGGTATTCCAAGGAGGTCTCCCATCCAAGTACTTGCCAGAGTCGACCCTGCTTAGCTTCTGAGAGGTCGGGCTTGCCTGGGCTATCCAGGTCAGGGTAGTGTGTGGCATTTTTAATTTCTTGGAAGGTTGCCAAGTCTATGTGGTTTAGCTCAAGGTCAGTGCTCCTCTGTGGCCGCTCAGGATTCTATGGACGTAGCAGCATCAGAATGCTAGACAGCCACATGATCGGGAACAGCTGGTGACACCACCCCGTGATGTCACAGGTGCCATGCAGTAAGCAGCATGACTCCTCACAGTCTGGCTCCAGCTAGAGAAGCAAGGAGCAGGCACCCATCTCTTTTCAAGCAGCAATCTTGCCCCTTGCATATGGCCCAAGCTCTTAACACAGAGATCATTTGAAACACAAAAGGAGAATGCTTTCTTCGCGCAAAGCATATGTGCTTTTGGAGACCCACTATGGGATGCTGGTAACGGCCAGTTCAGTTGAAGTGCTCTGAAGGTGATAGGAAAACGGTTCAGCCAGAGGATCGGGGGCGGGGGTGGGTAGTACAGAAGAATAGGAATAGAGTGATCATTGATTAAATCTGTCAGTGATCTAGGGTTGCCAGGTCTTCCTGGCCATCAGCTGGGGGTGGAGAGGTAAGGTTTCCAGTTTGAAGTTGGGAAATTCCTGGAGATTTGGGAATGGAGCCTGGGGAGGACAGGGACCTCAGTGGCGTACAATACCTTAGAATCGACCCTCCAAAGCATCCAGTTTCTCCAGGAGAACTGATCTCTGTAGTCTGGAGATCAGCGGTAATGCCAGGGGATCCCCAGGTCCCACCTGGCAGTAGGCATCCCTATGAGAGATCCAATCTTCTTGTCAGCAATATGACTAAATATTAGACTGATAAAATCTCAAGGAAGCTGCTGGGGCGTGATGTCTCTATTGACCTGATGTATTCATTAATCTTGGCAGAATGCAGCATTATCACTAGGCAATTTTATTATTATTGTACAAATAGTCTAGCCTGGATGCCAGTAAGCCATGGATAACCAAGGGCAGATCCTTCCTGCCCAGGAAAGGGCTCAACTGCTGAGTGCAGCAAACTAGTTAAAGGCACCCTTGGACACGTTGAGAGTTCCTTGAGAGTCCAGGAGCATCGGTGAATCCCAAGGCACCCTCAAGCAGTAGGTCTGGAAGTTCAATAGAAATGCGACCCCATCCAGGGAAACTATGATTCTCTCTGGTGCGAGCAAAGCACTCGTGCATGTACAGCTGCTGCTCTCCTCATCCTCAAGCACAGATACATCTGCAGGCAATGTAATGGTATCTTATAATGAATGGGCATTATACATTTCTGGTATAGTCCCCCCTCCAACACACAACAACTCTGATTCCCCCCCCCCCAAAAAAATGTACCTCTCACCCAAGGGACCCTCCCTCCAAATTCCAATAATTGATGTTCTTATTTGCAGGGTAGGCAAAAGGAGGCATGGTGATGTGGTGATGTTTGTTTTTCTAGCATCCTAGAGCATGCAGGTTAGGGGAGTTGAACCCTGCTGCCTCCTGTACCTTGAGGTTGATAGGATGGCTGCTTATCACTGGGTGTGTGTGTGTGTCGAGGCTGGGGTTCTGCGTTTGTTGCTACCAAGTTCCCTGCAACCATGCCAGCCTTCCAGCATGTTATTGCCACTTTCCCCTGTTGTAGGTTGGCTTCCCATCATGAGAGGTACACAATGTAGTCTATTCACCTACTTGATTCTGCTTTACAGCATGTGCAAGCAAAGTCTTTTCCCCTTCTTAGGAGATGGTGGACATACCCCAATAGAATGAAATAGCTCATGCAGACAGGATCTGTTCTTCGGAAAGCTTTTTTGCTTAGAGGTCCTTCATTGTTCCGTATTGGATCCCCATGTTTTGGGCTGGTGAGAGTGCTATCATTTGTAGAAATTGAAAAGCGCTGTGGGAAGATCAGAAAATTGCTCTGGTTGGACAACATCCCAGTCAGGACCTATTTACTTGCTTCCCTTGTTATCCCTCCTACCTATGGGGAAATGAATCAAGACAACAAGGCATCGATGTAATTGTCATATTCAAGCTTCCAAGCATTCCCCAATGTCAGAAATATTTTTGTCCAGATTTGGAGCCCATATTATATTTACAACTGGCCACTGTTGGGGTTGCATCTTGAGTTCCAGCTGCACAACCTAATGTGCTAAAAGTATTAAATGACTGGGGTATAGTATTTCCACCTACAAAATTAGTTTTCTTAGCATTTTAACAAGAAACGGTGGTGGTGGTGACGATGTTGATGATGATGATGATGATGATGATTTCTGTTTTGAAGAATATCAGCTGTAAATGTTTCCCAGGAATTAGTTTTTGAGCAGTTACACTGAAGAACAGGAGAGAATTGAGGTTTATAAGATTATGCATGGGATAGAGCAGGTAGAGAAAGAGGTACTTTTCTCCCTTTCTCAAAATACAAGAACTCATGGGCACTCAATGAAATTGCTGAGTGGTCAGGTTAGAACGGATAAAAGGAAGTACTTCTTCACCCAACGAGTGATTAACACATGGAATTCACTGCCACAGGAAGTGGTGGTGGCTACAAGCATGGACGGCTCCAAAAGGGAATTAGATAAAGCATATGGAGCAGAGGTCCATCAGTGGCTATTAGCCACAACGTATACATAGGGGCTCTGGGGCAAGTGATGCTCTGTCTTCTTGGTGCTTGGGGGGGTCAACAGTGGGAGGGCCTCTAATGTCCTGGCCCCACTGGTGGATCTCCTGATGGCACCTGGTATTTTTGGCCACTGTGTGACAGAGTGTTGGACTGGATGGGCCTTTGGCCTGATCCAACATCGGCGTCTCTTATGTTCTTATGTTCTTATGAGAAAACCAGCCTCCTCTTACCATTAAAAATTGGAATGTCCATAGTATTGGAGTTGGAAAGTGCCATTAAGTCACAGCTGACTTATGGCAATGCTGTAAGGCTTTTAGGCCAAAAGATTTTTAAAAAATTGTTTTACCCCTCCCTGCCTCTACATAGCAGCCTCCCATCCAAATACTGACCAGGGCCAGCCCTATTTGGCTTCCAACATCCAGGCCAGTCCATTGGATCAAACTGAAATAATGAAAGTGGTAACATGGTATGTAAAGTATGACAAAGAAGCAACGAAGGACAAACAACTGGGCATTGTGAAGAGAAACACCATTAAAAGGTTGTTACTCGAATGGCTCTGTCTGTACATCTGGACAAAATACTGTGAATTCATAGAAAAGGCATAAAAAGAGCACCAACAACATTGGAATCCCCCCCCCCCCCATCCCTTTAGATCTTTTACCTTGGCTGTTCCATTTCTGCAACTGCATTAAACATCCACCCCCCTTTTTTCACCTCTCATATTCTCAAAGGCTCAACAGGGGTATCACATATCAAATTGCCCCTTCTGCACAGCATCTTTCATTACAATTTGTCCTTAGATCTCCCAGTGCAACACTGTTAATCCTTACAGAAGAAAGCATCCCTTGCCTTATCTGCTTAGTGTTCTGCAGCTTAAAGCCCTTTGAAGGCAGCAATGGAGGTAGCGGTTAACATGAAAGAGATGCGGGCAGGTAAGTATTGCAAAGCAAGCAATTTCGACAAATGAAAGCTACCTGGTAGGTGTGTTTGCGTTTGGTGTTGAGCCGTTAGTGGAGAACTCATTGCTCGAAGGCAAGCCAAGCCCATAATGAATATTCTGTCTTAATCTTCCCATTCCCATGCAACCAAGCCCAGCTCTTTAAACGGATATAAGGAGAAATCTCCCACTCCCACATCACAGGGGGCTCTTGGTCTCCTCTCAAGCTGTTCTTCTCTTCCCACTTCATAACCTTGCTCTCCTAACTCTACCGTTGCTACAGAGCCACAATGAACCGGCAGTTCAGCTCCAGATCAGTGTCAACAGGAGGAAGAAGGGGCTATTCCATTTCTGGCAGTGGCTACAGAGCGGGCAGTGGCTCAGCGTCCCTCGTTCCCCTTGGAGGAGCGGGTGGTTTAGCTGGTGGCTTTGGCAGCAGAAGTCTCTACAGCCTTGGTGGAAGCAAGCGGATATCTCTGGGCCTAGTTTCTGGTGGTGGTGGTGGTGGAGGAGGTTTTGGTGGAAGAGGCTTAGGTGGTGGTGGTGGTCTAGGATTCAGCAGCTTTAGTGCTGCAAATTATGGAGGTTTTGGCGGCGGTGGTGTAGGCTTTGGCAGTGGTGTAGGTCTTGGTGGTGGTGGTGCAGGCTTTGGAGGTGGTGCAGGCCTTGGTGGTGGTGGTGCAGGTTTTGGTGGTGGTGCTGGCCTGGGAGGCTTTGGTGCTGGAGGATTTGCCATTTCAGGCCCTGGGTCCTTTCCACCACCTGGGCGCATCCATAATGTTATTGTTAACAAGAATCTACTGACTCCACTGCACATGGAAGTTGATCCTGAGCTCCAGAGGGTTCGGGTGCAAGAAAGGGAACAGATCAAGACCCTCAACAACAAATTTGCCAGCTTCATTGACAAGGTGAGAAAGAGTCGGGAGTGAGTTGTAGTGCAAAAAGTGGGGGGAGGACATGATTTTATGATACTTAAAAGTAGTAAATGAAGATGACTTTGCATTCTATAGCAGTGCTTTGAGATGGGCCATTTCAGTGTACTATACAGGTCTTCCCTTTTTCTAACAGCATAACAAGGGCAGCATCATTTGGTCCTAAGCAAGGACATGTTGGTCTTCAGTAGTGACTTTAAGTTACAGAAAGGTAGAGATCAGGAAGAACCTCCTAACTATGAGGGTACTAACATGTAAACTAGCATTGGACTCTTTAGCTTGGAGAAATGATGACTGAGGGGTGACATGATTGAGGTTACAAGATTATGCTTGGGATAGAGCAGGTAGAGACAGAAGTACTTTTCTCGCTTTATCACAATACAAGAACTCATGGGCACTCAATGAAATTGCTGAGCAGAACAGATAAAAAGAAGTACTTCCTCACCCAAAGAGTGATTAACACATGGAATTTACTGTCACAGGAGGTGGTGGTGGCTACAAGCATGGACAGCTTCAAGAGGGAATTGGATAGACAGATGGAGCAGAGGTCCATCAGTGGCTATTAGCCACAAGGAATAGATAGGAACTCTTGGTCTGTGGCAAGTGATGCTCTGTATTCTTGGTGCTGGGGGGGGGCAACAGTGGGAGGGCTTCTAGTGTCCTTTCCCCACTGCTGGACCTCCTGATGACACCTGGTATTTTTGGCCACTGTGTGTCAGAGTGTTGGACTGGATGGGCCATTGGCCTGATCCAACATTGGCTTCTGTTATGTTCTTATATTTCATGAATGGAATCAACTGACTTTAAGGATGCTGTGGAATATCCTTCCTCTAGAGGTTATCAGAACAAGGCTGTACAGGCACCTCTCTGGAATGCTATTGGTATAGGTTATCCTGTCTTGGAACAATAGTTTGGATGAATTATTTCTATAATTTTTACCATAATTTTTACCATTTACTATGTACAAAGAAAAGAATAATTTTGACTATATCTAATTAGAAAGTGGTCATTTCATAAAATCAAGTATGATTTATATGGTGATCTCTAAGCTACTAAAACTGCCATGCATATCCTTTGGGCACCTCTGTTCTAAGGACCATGGGTATCATCCTGTTCCATGAGTGAATCATAGACTGTTTATGTTGAGGTACTCGACATTAAAAGTTAATGGGTTATACTGTTGGCCACAGAAGTTTAAAGGTTTGATTCTAAGACTTTCTAGCGCTTATATGTCTAGAGAATAGTATATGTGCCACCACCACAGGGATAGTGGGAACCTTCTTCATTATGTTCAGTGGTACAGCACATGTGGACTGTCCCATGACCTGTCCACAGCATCTCTAGAACAAGGTCTAGGAAAGTTCTCTCTCTGATTCTGAGACATTCAAAAATCATTAATGGGTACGTGGCTAGATTATCTGTTGGCGGTGCCACTGAAATAAAGAAAGGTTACTCTGATATGGAAATACTCCTGCTTCTAGTGCTGCAAGTAACTTCGCTGGCAAATTCAGCATTAAGAGTGCCACCATATTTACTTCCAATGACAATAAATTCCAGTGAGGCAACCTGATTAGCCTATTGCGGGACAAGGACAAGGGGATCCAGTGGCACTTTGAAAACTAACAGACATTATTGTAGTATAAGCTTTTGTGGGCTAGAGACCCTTCATCGAATGCATTAAGTGAATTCTCAGTCAGCAGACTAGAATGAGGGGAGGGGGCATGAAATGCAAGAGTTTGCACTGGTATGAACAGTCAATTTGCTTTTATCGTAGACGTTTGATTTCTACACAGAAGTGTTACAAAGTATGCCTCTTTATTTTATTAACCAACCTGTTAACTGAGAATTCACTTCATACATCTGATGATGTAGACTCTAAGACTGATTCAGCCCCATCTTCGTAGGGCTTTCATGCTAGCACGGTTTGACGTCCTTCCCTCAACTGTTCTATCGGGAAGGTTCAACAAAATTCCCTATAAAGATAGATTGTGCCCCTGTGGGATGGGGGAAATCGAATCCATTGGACATGTGCTATTGTACTGTAAATTCCACTGTGACATCCATGTTGTTTCTATTGAACCTGTGCTGGACCCCCTTTTGGGCCAATCTGATGAGCATAAAATTAGTTCTTTATTGTCTTCGCACAATATAGAAATTCTGGAACCTGTAGCAAATTTCTTTTATGAGGTATCTAGGAGGAGAGACTCATATTAAGGCAATTCGGAATGTGATACCCCTCCAGCCTATCTTGAGGCTCTATGCTGCATGTGTATTTGATATTTTATGCCAATAAAGGTGTTGTATTTGTATTTGACTCTAACCCACAACAGCGTACATGGCAATAAATCTCTTAATCTTTATTTCTTGGCTTTTTAAATGAGAAAATAAGCTACAGAATAAATGGTTTGGGATATTCCTCATGCATTTTTATTCCTACTGTTGCTGAGATCCTGACCAAAATAGCCCAAGCTAGCCTGATCTTGTCGGATCTCAGAAACTAAGTAGGGTTGGCCCAGGTTACTATTTGGATGGGGGACTACCAAGGAAGTCCAGAGGCAGGCAATGGAAGACCACCTTCTGAACCTCTCTTGCCTTGAAAACCCCACGAGGTCACCACCATAAGTCAGCTGTGACTTGATGGTGCCAAAAAAAAATGTTGCTGAGAGATATTTGATTACAGTTCTGTTGAGCTTTGTGAAAATATATTCTAAGCAGAAGAATTTCACGAGACAAGGTGTTTTTTAGAACAGTGACATGATGGGGTGCAGGCAGGAAGATCTTTCTGTGTCCTATTGAAGACTCATGGGAATTGGATGTCTTGCTTTTCAACTAAGGAAGACAATGAAAGTTGAGGTGTTTGCCATCTCGAACACCTTGCTATATACTAACATGTAAACTAACATAAAAGATCCACAAATGCATTGAATACACCAAGGACTGGTGTATCTTTTGTTTGTTCCATTCACATGTAGGTAGCTGTTCTGTTTGTATACATAAATGCATGCATATGAATAAGTATCGTGCTAGGTGGACCTGTGATTAGAGAAACTTACTTGAGGTTGGCACAGCATAGGCACCAGAGGAATCCTATAGAATTATTAGGGAAAACTGTAGAATAAATTGACTTATTTGCAGGATCAGCCAATTTTAGCTGTTTCCCAGCAATCTTGCTCATTAAGCTATGGCTAAATATTTCCACCACCACCATGATTTTGGTAAGGCAAATAAAATGCTCAAAAGTTCTAAGAGATATATCCCACACTATAATGTTATATCTTTCCTTGGATTTTGTCTGTGTTACCCTAGTCATGCTTGACAGCATATGGCCCCTAACTGTGAAGGGCCTGCTGCCAGGTAGCCATGTGAAATGGGCTGGATTGGTGACATTTGTAATTTCTTGAATGGCTCTGATGGTTAAGAAATTCTCTCTAATGATTAATGTGAGGCCAATTCCTTGTTGTGTACAATGATTTGTTCTTGTCCTCAACTAGGTAGAGTGAACCACTGTTACTTCTCTTCCTTTTCAATACAGGAAAGATGCCAATGCATCCCAGCTTTTTCTTACTATCTCTAAACCCCAAAATTAGTCATTAAGAATAAATGACATGAGAGATCTTGGACTATTCACCTGTAGGCAAGGAGCACCACAAGATCTTAGATTGTAGGATTCTCTGCCAGTGGATGTAGTGATAGGCCTTAGGATGGATGGTTTTAAAAGGCATTCATGGAAGATAGGTATGTCAATTGCCATTAGCCATAGTGACCAAATGGAGCATCCATGTCCAGAGGCAGAAACCCTTTGATACTGGTGTTGTGAGTCAGCAACAGATGGAGGCGCTGTCCCTTTTGTGGTCCTTCTAGGACATCTAGCTGGCCACTGCAGGAAGCAAGATGCAGATCAGCTGTTGATTTGATCCAGCATGGTTTTTCCTAGGTTTTTGAAACTCCTTGCACACAGAAAGCAACCTCACCATGTTCTAGTCTAGCCTTCGCTTTGACATGCTGATTATCTATGTACAGGGAGCTTTCTACATGGGGAAATGTTCAAGCATGACACTCCTCAGCTACAGACTGAAATTAAGTGGTCCAAGAAAGGCTGTGACCAATGTTCCCTCTAAACTGTGGAGTCTTGTGAGCAAAAATTCAACTTTGTGAGCTACTGGTACTAAAGTTGTGAGCAAGTGACTTGGCTACTGCATAAATTAGTTTGCTCTGGAGCCATCCTTCCTGAGCTAAGGCAAATATGTGTGAGCCGGAGGCTAAAAAACTGTGAGCTAGCTCACACTAACTCAGCTTAGAGGGAACACTAGCTGTGACTCATGATGGATCAAGAGATGTAGCTCAGATGCAATAATAACAGTAACAGTAAAATAAGTCCTTTTAGGCCAACATATACTATGCTATGCACTATCTGAATTGTGCCCTGGTGTAGAAGGCCCAGGCTGACCTGATCTCATTAAATCTTGGAAGTTAAGCAAGGTCAGTCCCAGTGAGTACTTGGGTGTGAGAACACCCGGGAAGTTCAGGGTTGCTACACAGAGACATGGAAATGATAAACCACCTATGAACATCTCTTGCCTTGAAAATCCTATGGGATCACCATGTTGGCTGTGATTTGATGGCACTTTCCACAAACATCTGAATAATTTTTATAGAATCCTTGGAAACGTGTCAGTATCCATCTAGTGGACAAATGCCATCACCCTTAGTGGGAATGGACCGCCTTGTCTATTGAAACAATGCCTGCCAATTACCATGCCAGTTTCATGCCCAGGACTCTTTCAGTGGGCTCCCCTTTTACTGTATTGCTTGCTTGCCTATATAGTCTCCAAAATGATTAATTGCTTGAGCAAAATGAGCACCCTTGCAGAACATCATCTAACTTTCAGTTTGAGAATGTGTAGTAGAGGAGGAGGTAATGGCTGGATGAGGATAGAGTCTATGGCTTTGTCAGCTTTAATTTAAAAGAAATTTAA